GTGCCCAGAAATCCCTACACCTCTGAGGCTGGGGGTCGGGCTGGAGCCAGACTGCAGTACTCTAAGGGCTTCTCCTGGGGATTTGCATATCTGAAGCCAAAGTATCCCCCAAAAGCACTCTTCACCCTCCAGAGAAGAAACTGGAGCATGGAATTTGCACTCTTTGCACCCAGAAGATTCCTCAGGCTCTTCCATCCCTCTGGGGATACACAGTGGCCTTGGAGCCATCCATCACTGCCGTGGGGCCGCAAGGCCCCAGGGATGAGTTACAGAGCCATAAAACCTGCCTGGCTCAGCAGGAGGGTTTTATGCCCACCATCCATCAGGAGGCACAGCAGCTCTGTGCCAGCAGACAGCAGGCAGAGGTGGGTGCACAGGGATGCTGGGTGTGCTGGGTCAGTGCAGCGCTGGGTGAATCAGCAGCCCCTATCTCACCTGTTTCCCAGCACAGTCTCTCTGAAGCAGCACTGAGCTCTGGCTCTCGTATCGCTGCCTCGCCCTGCTGCTGGATGGATGTTTTTCCAAGCTAAAAATAGGATTATCTTTCTACCAATCGACTGTCTGGGATTATGCATTCAAAGGGTGCAATATAGAGACGTGGAATAAAGGTTTAATGAATCACAAAATTGAATTCTTTATGGGCTGGCAGCATTTTTCTGAATAAAACAACAACTTAATGTCCTGCAAGTTGTACTTTATGAACAGGGGCCTAAACTTATCTCGTACAGAAGAAATTAGGGAAGCAATCACAGGAGGTCTTTTATTAGCGCTTTTTCTCTCCCCAGCACAGAGTAGAATATGAATTGATTGTCAAAGATTTTTTAAGTGCCTGTGATTGAAGAGATGATCTCTGATAAGCTGCTGGAGGAAAACAGAAGCCAACAGCTGCTCCATTTAGCAGCAGTTAGCCTCCAGCCCTGGTGGCTCGCTGAGTGGCTGCTTTGCATTCACAAACACATCCCCACATCGCAGCCGCACACCTCCCTGCTTGCACAGGCTCTGCTTGCTGCCCGAGGAGATGCCAGCGATGGAGAGTGGTTTGTGAGGTCTGGAGGTGGTCTCCGGGAGCACACCCATGTCCTTCCTCCTGCTGCCAGCTGAATTAGCCAAGCAAAGCCTTTATCCATCTCAGATCATAAACTCCTGTGTCACAAAACGAGGCACAGAGCAGCCACTGGAGCAGAGCAGGGGCTGGTGCTGAGCAGCTCAGGGGGCTCCAACCTCCACAGCCCAACACGGCCGCGTGCTGTGGGCTCCATGCCCTGGCTGAGCAGGAGGATGCTGGCACGGACCCATATAGAAGCAAGCTGGCGTGCTGCTGTGCTGGCACAGAGCCCGAGGTGCTCTCTTGTCATCAAACACACACCGTACCGCTGCCCGCTGCTGCACTTTGCGAGGTCAGCTGGGAACGTCAGGTCTTCATATTATACCTCACTGACTTCTCGCAGCACGCAGCCGGGCTGAAGAGCAGCGCTCTGCCTGCAGCTCAGACTCCCTGCTGGGAAATCAATGGTCATTTGGTGATGTGCCGGCATGTGGGCTCACTGCATTGCAATGCCTTGAGAGAAGCAGGCTGACGCAGAGCGGGGCAGGCTGGCCCCGGGCAGACACGGAGCACTGACATCGTCCAAAGCCACCAGCAGCAGGATCCCCAGGTGTGGGAATGCTCCGAGCATCCACAGCACGAGAGCAGGCAGGGAGCTGGATGCACTCAGAGCTGCGCCCAGAGCCTGGCTCCTGCGGCAGTGAGGAGGGCACGGTCCTCTGCTGATCACTGTGCATGCAGAAGGAACACAACACATGGAACAGAGGTTGCATCTCGGCCTTTCTTTTACCTTCACTTAGTTTATTTAAAGAAACATGGGATAGGAGTCACACCATTCTGGTCTAGAAGTAGTATAAGTGCTGGGAGGTGAGCATCATTGTGCTAGAGCAAAGCTAGAGCGGAGCGAAAGGTGGATGGGATGTGCCATGCAGTGCTGGCAGCTCAAAGCAGGAAGATTAAAATGGATGGGAGCAACTTTGAAGCACACAAATAAAAGCCGACAGCATTTCTCTTTAACGAAGAACAGAAGTTGCTCTTTTCTGCACGTTGAGGAGAGCACCGGTGTGGCTGGACTTCAGCGGGTTTCAAAAAGCAGCACACATTGCCTTTGAATGATAAAATGCTAGAGTGTGACCTCAGGAACTCGAGCACTTCCAACACACTCCTGTTTCTGTAATGCCTGTCTGTGGGTGCAGATGTGAGAGCTGCCACAGCCTCCTGCCACGGCCTGGGGTGCTGGAGCTGCTCGAGCTGCTCCCCAGGGCTGATCAGGGCTGACCCCATGGCAGCTCTGCAGGGCTGTCTCCATGGGCGCTGCCTGCAGTAAGAGCAGCATGCAGCACTCCAATCTCTTCCTAGTGGAGAGGTTACAAGAGGGCATTTTGGAAGCAATTGAAAGGTTGGTAAAGAGACAAGGGCAGGAAATGTACGGAGTCTCATTACCTTTTATCTTCCTGGAGCATAAAATTGCAGAGTCTCTGTTTAGGCTGGAAGGAAACCCCTGCAAGAATTACGCATGCTGCTCGCATGCTTATCGAGATTGAAAGAGCTGTGCTCCATCAGCTTGCTGCGGAGATAAGGACCCCCTGCCCCACAGCACACAGATAAATCCTGCTGCCCACACCCTGTCCTCATGCCTGACCCCACCAGGCTCTGCCATCACACCACGTGGCTACAGAGCGATGCACATCGCCACAACCCCAGGAGACTCAGTGTCCTATATGTAAGCTCCATACATAAGCCTGGAAAACAAAACTGTGTGTGAGAGCAAACAAATTAAAATTCAATTTCATTGACACCAAGGAGTTGCCATAATCAGGGGAGGGATGTTGGAGACACATCGGTGCTGGCGTAGCTCCTTGGTGAAATTTTATGGGCCAATTGGTAAAAAATATTCTCCTGAGAGCGATGCACGCTGCTCACAGGGCTTCATATCTTACTGGTAAGGCAGTTTGGAGAGCAGTGATCCACGCTGTGAGAGCAGGGGGCTGCCTGCATGCAGGGACTTCTGCCTCTGTTAGTGGCGCCAAATGGCTCTGCTGATGCTCCGTGCTGCACCTGCACTGCGGTCCCAGGGCACAACAAACTCGCAACCTACAACAAACACACCAGAAAATATCTCCTAGTCAATTATTGATGGTACCGAGATGGCAGCATAATTAAGCTTCCAGAGGCCTTTGGGCAAGTATGTGGCAGCATAAGGTGCTGCACGCTGTTGGCACGAGCTTTATTTAAGCACATTGGATCAATTTGAATCAATCTGACATGTACACACTTCAGGGCATGGCTAGTTTCAAATCAATTAAACTCCTTATGACTTTATGATTAGAAACCTGAGGTTATGAAACATTAATGTAAAATCACAGTTTATAAAGTGAAAAAATAAAATCCCGGCGAAACGTCTCATGAAGATCACAGGAATCATTATATCAGCTTCATTAAACAAACAAGGTAAGGGTAATTAGGCTGTAAATTGAGTGCAGTAGTTAAAAAAAGAGAAACTGTAATTAGGATGTGATGGCCACTTAAACAAAAATAAGGAAGTGTGGCTAACTGGCTGCCTTCTGTCTCCAGACAGAAAAGCAGTTGATTTCTGCCTGAGGTGGAGCACCCAATAAAGGCTTCAGCGTGGGAAGCTGTTTCTAGAGAGCAGCTCTGGGATGGGCACAGCAAAGAAACTGATTTTTGGGTCTGGGAAGGGAGAACAGACATTTAGAGCAACAAAATACGTACAGATCTTGCCCAGAATACTGAATAAAAGCCTGGCTGGTGTCACGTCCACAGCTCATGCTGAAAGATAGGATTTGGTGGAGGGGTGGAGCGGGTACTGTGCTCCTTCTGTGCAGAGAACAGGGCCCAGGAGCCGGTCCTGCCAGCATGAAGGGGCTGAGACATGATGGAGCTGAGACATGATGGAGCTGAGGCACAACAGGGCTGAGGCACGAGGAGTCAGAGATGTGCACGCAGTGCCCAGCTGGGATGAATTAAGCTGTGGCTTGAGGGCGTTTCTGGGGGAAGGTCTGCCAACAGATTGTACCTCCTTGTGCATGTAGCATAGGAAGTGCCAAATCCCGAAGAGCTGCCCCCTGCTAAGCCAATCTTCATTAACAAGAGCTGCAGGGGAAGGAAATCCTCGAAGCGGTGCTCAGGCTGCTGAGAGAGCACGATGCTCTCACTTGGCACAGCCAATGCAACTACACCAAAACCATGCCAAGCTCAAGCTTCTTGGGCAGCCCCAGCCTGCTTCACAAATTAGGTCCTGTGAGCAGCTCTCCTTTAGAAACACAAACAGTAATCCCATGTGTTGGCATCAGCCCTACCCAAAGAGCCCAAACAGCTGTGGACAGAAAAGTTCCCATGTGGGGCACGGACCCTCCCTGATGGTTGTGGGTGCAAAGTGCACTGAGTCAGCAGAGAGCTCAAGGCTGCACCAGACTTTGCCCCAGGCCCTGTGTGGACTGTGGCCTTTGCTCCTCTCGCTGGGGCAGTGCAATGAAGGGGCCGGCCCTGATGCGGGGGTGTGCAGGCTGCAGCGCCCTGTTCTGCCCCCAGAATTGTGCTGCCCACCAATGGCCCCAGCCCTGCACTCTTCCCTGGGGAGCTGAGCAGGTGGAGGTGGCCATAGCACTGGGCTGCAGAAGCAGGAGGCTTTCTCCATCTCTGCACGAGACCCAGCCCAGCTCAGCTCTCAAGCCGGGAACCAGCAGCAGCCCTGTAGGCAAAAGGCTCTGTAAGTACACAGAGGTGGAGGAGAATAACTGGTTCTGTGAGGAGTGCAGCTGGAAGCAGGCAGCCTGCAGGCACAGCAGTGGGGGCCCGGGGCTCCCAGCCCTGCCTGGAGCTCTCTGCCCACTGATGGTACACACAGTGCAGCCTAAACAACGCTGGGGCATTTATTAGGGGACCCGCTGGCTTGCCAGGAAATTGCCCACAGTGCAATGCTTTATGTGTTGGACTAGTTTATTAAGGAGCTACTTGAGACTCTCAGAGAGGCACCATTCTGGAAAGTAACATCCTGAGGGCAGGAGTCAGGCCCGGCGATGTGGCACAGCCCCGTGCCGCGGTGCACAGCTCTGTGTTGCAGTGCGTGGCTGCATGCCGTGTGCATGGCTCCGTGTTGCTGCATGGCTCCGTGTTGCTGCATGGCTCCGTGTTGCTGCATGGCTCCGTGTTGCTGCATGGCTCCGTGTTGCTGCATGGCTCCGTGTTGCTGCATGGCTCCGTGTTGCTGAGCTGCTGCTCGCGGGGATGGGGCAGCCTGCCAATAAATGCAAAAGGGCAAAAAAGCAAAAGGCAGCCGTGCACAGGGCTGCAGCTACATCTTTGCACTAGCAAAGTCACGGCTGCTGCATAGCCTGGCAAACTGTTATGGCTTTTCAAGCCATGAAGCCATAGAAGGATGAATGTTATAGGGAAGAATGTTTATCCTATGCTGGGGAATACAACAGAGGTGTGGGCCACTCGTGTCACCTCAGTGTCCCACAGATGCCCACTGTAGCTCAGTCCAGCTCCACATAGGGCAGGACTTCAAGGCTGCCAGGAGGGAAAATGGCAGCATGATGACTAATGAGGAATCACCCCCGCCAGGTAAAAATTGACTCACATGCATTCCCTGTGCTGGCAGGTGCCAAAACCAACACAGATACACATGGCAAACAATGAACCTTGAGACAAGGCATAAACCAACGTGCTGAGTGGAAAGGTCACGATAGGGACTGACCAGAAATGTCATCAAGCTTGTTGCAGATAAGAGAAAGGAAAAAAAAGCTCTTATCACAGTGAGAGGCAGCAAAGGGGCACTGAGCTCCCAGCACCACCTGTCCTGTGAAATGCCAGCTGCTCCCTGCTCCCATCGCCCTTCTGCCTCGATCAGCACTTTCTGACACCAGAGGGGAAGACCATCAGGTTGCCAGAACGGCTCCAACCTGCGAGCTCCCAATGGAGTTTATTAGAATGGTTCTACCGACCCAATGCTAAAGGCTGAAAATGAGTTTTCCATAGTGGCCATAACTGTCAGCAGAGTGTCTGCATCGCATTGATTATCTCTGGAGAAAACAGGCACAGCGAGTGCACTGACCTTTATGGAGGAAGCACCCAGATCCTGGATGATTGCTGCTGTGGCAGGACTCTGCTATCAGCCTCCGGCCCAGGAAATCCAGGCACATGGAGCCCAATGGGGTGGGAGATCATCTGCAACTGCTGCCACAGCACTGGTGAGGATGTGGCAAGCAGCAGCTACAGCCACTCACCCATGAAATGTAAATTTAATGTAACTATTTGCAATGTAAAATGCTTTGCACTTTGAAAAATATGCTATTATTTGTGCCTTTTATTGGAGAGAGAGGGGGAAAATATATTCAGAAACAGTCTCTTGTGCGTGTTCAGTTCTTTCTGCATCCAGAGTTATGGAGTTTATATTGAAATTTAGCAGCTGTGGGATCTGTGGCCCAATAGTGCCATCACCACTAAATCATCTCTTATTTAGCTAATGCCCTTCATGGCTCACACACGTAGAATAGAAAATGACCTGCCAAGCTGCCACCGGGCTGGTTCAAAATTCCTCCCTCGCTCAGCTCCTGCAAAATACACCATCCCCAATAACACAACAATATATTTATAGATATCCCAGATGCAGGGGGTTTAGTTGGTGTCACTTTTGCCCAAAATCTTTAGCTATATCCAGAAGCTGATGCCTTACACCTGTGCCAAGGTGGGCGAGCAGAGATGGCAAGCTGCTCAGATGTTTGGTAAGGAATGTCCTGGCACCAAACCTCCAACTTCCACTAAAAATCAGGTGCGTTGCCAAAGCAGAAGATCAGGCACACTGGTACCAGGACAGCAGACAGGTTGGCACCACACCTCAGCAGAAGCTGCAGCAGTGACATCCAGAAAGACAACCCCAGCCCTGATCCCCCCCCTGCTGGGGCTGCAGTCAGTGCCTGGCTACAGAAAGCTGAAGATAGATGGCGGTGAACACAGCTTTCATCATTCAGTGAGATAAGAAGAGGCAGAGATAAATCCTTCGTTAGGCTGCAAGGCTGGTGGGAGTGGTCTCACCTCCTGGTTCATTAAGCTTCCAGAAAGCCTCATCTGCCATCATTAAGTGCTGCGCTAATGGCACTCGCTGGGTGGTTTTTCAGTGGTTTTGCTGTGTCCCCTGGAGTCAAACTTTCTCCAAGCAGTTCTTTAAGCCACAACCTCAGATCCAGCATCCTTAGTCTGATGTAGGGGGATGCAGGGCAGTGGTCATCACCCTCCCGGCTCCTGCTGGCTCTGTGCTCTGCTCTCCTGGTTGATTAGCACATGCGGTGATGCTGGTGGAAACCTAAAGCCATTTGTAATCATTACTCTGAAGGCCGTCTACAGATAATGAAGAAAATTAGACTGGACTTGAAAAAATAAAAAAACACTTTTTTTTCTTAGTGAAAGCATTTGGAAGCATCAGGAGGTTCTTTATAGGGTGTGTAAATGTAACACGAGGAGAGACAGAATAAAGGGAGTTCAAAGGGTGTCTGTGAAAAGGAAAAAAATTCTGCTATTGGCACTGCTTCCTGTTTTCTCACACCCAGCAACATTCTTGACCCAAACCAGAGGAAACAACAACAACAGCAAGACACCGAGTGGTACCTTCTATGACAGCTGGCAGGAGGAGCGCTGGGCTCACACTGCAGTGTGCCTGGGCCAGGCTCTACCTGTGAGGACTCCAACTAGTTTGGTGTGCAGCTCTCTGTTCTCCCCACCACAGCCTGGACTCCAGCAGACACAGGTCAGGGGAAGCTCTTCTGGTAGAAAGGCAGCCTTAGGCAAAACCAAAACAAATTCAGCCCTGTATCCCAGGAGCATCTGTATCTGGAGCATCCCTGGCTGCACTGGGTGAGGAGAAGCTGAGGGTTGCCCTGCAGCTCCAACAGAAGTCCAGTTGCAGTACTGATGGACCCAAGGACATGTGAACATGGGGTGTGACAGCACCCTTTAAAATGTCTTCTCTTCATCGTTTGCTGTTCCCTTAAAATAAAAAAAAAATAAAATCAAAATGCATTACATTAGGTTACTAAATGAACTGAAAGCCCCAGGGCTTGGGAGCCTGGATGCTGCATTAGGCAATTGCAGCAGCCGAGGCCGGCCAGCACCAGTCCTCCACCCGCAGGCTCTGCTAACGAGCGCAAACAGCAGGGCCAGGACATGCAGCAGGGCCAAGGCTCAATGCTGGATGCCAGCCCACACCCAGCACATCATCCAGACCTTCACTGGGGAGTGCAATGTGGGGCTGAGCATTGCTGCTATAAGCACCACGCTTCTCTGCTTCAAAAAAAAAAAAAATCAGCATGCTGCAGGAAAGCCATCGGTTCAGCTGGCTGCTCCCATTATGTTTCATGAAAGTCAGCTGGTGTATTGGATATTCATTCATTTTGGGCTAACTATCTTTTCCATTTCTGAACAGCTTCAATTTTCTTGATGTCTCTGGGAATGGTTTATGAGGAAATAGAGCCTTGAGGGTGGACAGACAGAGAAAAATCTCCTTTCTCACCAAATTGATCACCATAATCCTTCATCTGCTCACTGTGCAGCTGGGCTGCTGGTACCAGCAGGCTGTGCCCGCAGAGCAGCCCCGTGTGCTGCAGTGTAAAGGAGCCTCACCTCACTGCTGCTGAAGGGGAGAAGAGATCTGGCCATACTAGCTGCCAAGTGTGTGTTGACACATCCATGCTGTAATGAAACTCATGGCAATGAGATGCTGTGGGATCTGCAGCAGTAGCAGCACATGAGGATGGACTAAACAAGCAGCTGCTGGTGATGGTTTGATGTGGATAATCCTGCCTACGGCCAGGCAAATGGCTCTTCTAAGCTCTGCCTCCTTCCCTGTTTCTCAGTGCAATGAGGTTATTGCAAGAGTTTTCCCTCCCCAGCCCTGCAAGCACTGGGAATGTGAACAGTTTGAACTGGCCATGAATGCACTGGTGCCAAAAACTCCTGTCCTGCCCAGCACTTACACCAACAACCACACAGAGCAAGTGGGCAGCAGCTGTGCAAGGCAGCACACAGCCAGGTGGGGGGGGCAGAGCAGCAGCACAGGACAGGGGGCACTCCAGCTTTGTACAGCCCAAGCATCCCCACGTGCAGCTGCTTGATTTATTTCTTACTGGTAATTTATGGAAATGGATTCTTTAAAAAAAAAAAAATAAACTCAAACCAAATACTTTACTAATAGGCCAGCCGCTCTCTGGTATCACGCTGGGTAAATGAGCATTTGTGCCCAGTGGCATGTTGTCCCATAGCTGAACCCCCATAAAGGGCTTCAAAAATATCTATTAGCCAAGCTCATTAGTTTAAATATCATTAAAATAAATTATATTTCTCCACACAGGGCTTTGATGGGCCCCAGAGAGAATGCTGCTCCCAGTGGCTACGGGTCAAACACTCATTTACTCGAAGGACTCTTTGCTCTGGAAGTAGAAAGGCTGTTACAATCGGTTTACACAACTGTCACGGTGCAGAAATGGGCCTGTCCACGCCTCACTGCTCAACTTAAAAGCATAACACTGAATAAGAGAACATAGCACACGTGTTCTTTGCTGTAAGAATCAACTGCAAAGCTGCCTTCTGGTTCTGTGAATATAGAAAGGTCTGTACCTGGCTTTTAGATTTATTCGTTTATCCATTTGACCTGTTAATTCCACTTGAAGGTCAGTTTATTTTGGTATAGCTTAATTTCTGATGTTTCTGGTTTCAGGCTTGTTTTTTTCCCCCCACAGCAACCAGGCCCCCAAAAATGCAGTGGTACCACTCTATGCTGTACGAACTCAAGCTGATTTGAACCACATGGTCAGGATTGATGCAGGCATGCCTGCCACTCTCATGCTGCTCCAGCTACAGCCAGGGCACAACTGGGGCTGTGCACCAGCACCATGCACATGAACATCTATCCAATAACACCACCATATCTGAGCAGCAGAGATGGAGCTGTGGGTTTATGCTTCACACCAGCGAGAGCACCTCTGTTTCACACAGTGCCTCAGAAAAGGTGTTCCAAAGCTCTGAGCAGGTGCATTTCTCTTAGAACATGGAGTTAACAGGATGCCGGCATCACCAACAGCATCACCAGGGAGCAGAGAACTCACAGCCCTCACTCAACCCCTGCACAGGTTTGTCAGAAGGAATTATTTACTGTCAAGGTAGTGAGACAGAGGAACAGGTTGCCCAGAGAGGCTGTGGATGCCCCCCTCCTCCCTGGAAGCATTCAAAGCCAGGCTGGTTGGAGCCTTGAGCAACCAGATCCAGTGGGAGGCAGCCCTGCTTATAGCATGGAGCTGGAAATAGATGACCTTAAAAGGTCCCTTCCAACCCAAACCATTCTATGACAGAAGGGAGGAGAGACCACAGGCAGCTCATGCACCCCTGGGTTGGTGTTGCAGCAACAGACATTGCTAACGAACCATCACAACACAGCAAGCACAGCAACCCACAGGGATTTCACAGCCACGCACCACGGGCTGCCAACAGTCTGCAGCAACGGGAGCCAGCCAGGTGCTTGTTGTGTCTCGAAAGAAACCCTCCCAGTGCCCAGCCAGGTGGCTGCACACCCAGCAGGGCTGCCTCTCACTCATCTCTGGAGCAATTTGGGCGTTGCTGTTCTCGAAGCACTCCACCAGTTGTACTTTCCGTGTCAGCAGCACCGCAGAACAGAAACGTGGCATCGAGGTTCCCCATTCGGGCTGTGACGGATCGCAGGGAGGAACGCAGCGATGATGGAGGACCAGTGCTAATCACACCAATTGATATAAATCACCACGTCAGCAGCAGGCTGTGGGTTTACACCTCATTAAGCTTCCAAGTGCCAAATTAATCAACAGGCTTCAGCAGAACCGTTCTTAATTAATTGTTGTAGCAATGGGGAAACGCAACAGAAAAAGAGAACCAGAACTCGCAGCGAGCACCACCAGGTTTAAACAGACAGAAACTCTGTTTTCCAGTTCACCTTTCAGTGAGGGACAGCCACACACCCATCACAGGCAGCAAACTGTCAGGGCTGCTGGGGATTAGGGTGGATTGCAGGAGCAGGCTGGTGAACTGCAAAATGCTTCCACGAGCTCCTCATTGAGCACTGCAAGTAAGCAGCTTTGTATTTTATTTTTTACCTTCTCTCTGAAGCAACACACAACCCCAACAGCAAACGATGTGAACAGGGGAACCGCTCCCACCTTCACAGCGTCCTCAGTTTCTTGCTCTGTCAAAATTATGATGCCTGGGTGCCATAAGGACAAGCAGATAGGGGACAAGCTACCAGCAGCCCACACAGCCACCCCAAGCACAATGCCCACGTCCCTGCAGGCAGCTCTCCCGCAGCTCACAGCACCAAAAAGCATCCTCTGTGCTGCAGGGCCTGGAGCCGAGCACACAACAGCCACCACTCAGCAATGCAGCGTGTGCCTGTTGCATTCTCAGGGTGGATTAAACACATCCCCTGTGTTCTGTGCACCTGCTTCTGCCTTGCCTCACACATTACAGCAGTGTAACATCTCCCCTGAGTTCACGTCTGCTCACCACATGGCTTGTAATTGCAGCGGTCAGTTCAACACTCAAACCACATTTCCAGCATTGAATGTCAGCAGGTACTTACGTCTTCCCATGGCTGTCAGTCACTCAGCCTGCTCTCCCTGATCTATAGAATATCCAAACATTTATATCATGGTGATGACAGCAGAGGTACCCACAGCATCACCACTGCACCTGCACTGCAGCACCTCCGGTGTTCCCATCCTTACAGCATGGGCATGCAAACAGGCTTCACCGTATCAGCAAAGGTACCCTCTCAACACTGTGAAATCCCACCTCATCCAAAGGACTGGTTTGGAACTTGGTCTGCTTCCTTGGATTTAAGGTGCGAGTTGGAAGGTTAGCAAGGCAAAGGGAATAGAAAGAATGCACCCAATCCCAATTATTAACAGTCAACTATCCAAGTGCTCCCACAGGCTGCGTTCACCGGCCAGGAGCCCCTGCTCAAGGTGGGTTGGGTTGTGCCATGGCAGCTCACTGCTCACCTCAGCTCAAGCACAGTGCTCCCCTGTGAGAGGCGAGCAGCACAAACAGCAGTCAGTGTGGCCACGAGCTGAGCAGTGCCCAGGGTCATCACCTTGCAGCAGGAGCTCCTCAGACTTTTGTTTTCAGCTGCTTGGAAAACAAATCGATTCGCTCACGCATGCTCCCTCTGCAACCTGCACAGTTCATATGTTCGCTGGTGCCTAACCAGCTTTACAGTTTCAGTGGGAAAAGCTCAATCTAGGACTTTTCATTAGTGTCATTAAGAGCATGGCATTAAGGCTCCACAAGCTGATTTTGGCAATAGAAAACAATTTCAAGAAACACATAGCAGGGTAATTATTCACAACTCAAATCCCAGAGGAGCACAGCCTTATGGCGTAACCACATCAGCACCGCTGTTTTCTGAAATAAAGACTTCACTCAACTGCCAGACAACACTGTTCCACTCATCCTCAGCCCACCTCCTGGCCCTCAATGGCTGTGACTGACAGATCTCCATCACATTTTCTGCCCTCTCCTGTGCCACAGCTGCGGGCAGATCAGTCAGCCAGGCAAGGGGACAGAAGTGACAGAAGGATGGGCCCCAAGCCCACGCTGCCTTGTGCTCTGATACGTGACTATTTCAGACAACTTAATTCCTAAATTAATTACAGGGCTAAATCCTCCGGAGCAATCTCCCTGTTACAGCCAAGTTAGAACGCACCACATGGACGCAAGGCAGCCTGCACGCAGCACACAGAGCTGCACAGCACTGCTCTGAGTGCAGCAGCACACCAAGAAGCACGGGGGCAGGAAAGGACACAGACCAGGACTTGACCCTTGGCAGCCATGCCCTTCCAAGCACATCGTTCCCACCACATGACATTCCCTGAGCATCATTCCTCAGTACACCATGTGTCTCTCAGTATTCAGCCAGGCTGACCCAGAGGATGCAATGAATTTCCAGCTCCAGCTGTTGGCAGCAGTCAGCAGGTGCTATCATCCTACTGCTACCATTGATCCACCTGTGGTCCTGAGGTTGAGATGGGAAAGCAGGAAAGCAGCCATGGAGGTGTTAATCTGCATGTCCAGAGCAGCAAACAGACAGCAAGGAGAGCTCGGCCTGTGCTCTGCTGAGCAGCATCCTCTTAAATCCGCAGGGCAGTGCTGCATCTGTCGTGTGGGACCTCACCAGAATGGTTTCCCAGACGTTGAGGTTCTGACCTTGTCTGCTTTTACACTTCTCCATTCCGATTTTCAAATTAATCATCTAATTCCAGGTAAGTGCTTTTAAATTCTGCTGAATGGGGCATGAATCTTGCTGAATGAGAAATGCAGATCTCGGTAGGGAAATAGATTCAGCACGGTTACACTCCCCACTCTGTTTCAAGACTTCAATTGCAATTGCCTGCTCTAATTTAACAGGGAAGCCTCACTGCAGGGTAATTAAGCACACGAGGAGCTGCACAGAGCTGCTGTCAGCACCTGGCTGTGGGATTCTCCTTCCAGAGCACCTGCACTGGATGGAAATTCCTCCCCTCTGCTCTGAGCCTCTCACCAGTTCGTAGAACAGATGGAGCCACCTCCTCCTGCAAGGAGCCCTGCTGCTACGCGGCGCCTTACGCTGCAGCAATACGCGCAATTAGGCAAATCAATGGACAATGCAGCGTATTGGAGGAGGAGGAGTTACATCCAGGCAAAACATGAATCCCAATTTATTCGCTGTAGGAAACGAGATGTTTCTGCATAATTACCAAAAACCGCAGACACGAAACAAAACGTGGTGACAGCCCCAGTGGGAAGGTGCCACAGCCGGGTCGCTGCCTGGAGGGTGTGGGGCACAGCAGTTCATTCTCACCCTGATAAACAGCTGATTTATGCCATAACATCTCATTACGTGCTGCACTGCCCAGCCCATCCCACATCCACAGCAGACAGGATGCTGGCTGCTGCCACTCGCCTCGCTGATGACTGCAGACTGAGCAGCACAGCTGAAAGCTACAAAATTTCATGCTGTGAGGAGCTGCCACCTCCAACCAAGCTGCTTGCTCAGCATTCACCTGCCTGCATCTCTTGTTAAGGTATGTGCTGGCTCCCTGCACTGAACTCGCGCTGCTCACCACAGGTGCACAGCTTTGTTCTTATCCTCGAGCATTCTCCACAGGCAGTGCTGAATCACATTGTGGCTTTTGAATATGAGAAAGCATTTAATAAAATGCAAACCAACATCACAGGACTCATTTAAAGCATGACCTAAGTCAGGTCTCCAAATGCAGTATTTGTAGAAATAGTATACTCACTTCTCTAAAACCTGGAAGTATAGAAATGTGATTTATAGGTCTCCCAATACTACAAACTCAAATTTACAAGTTTGCCATTTTGGAATCACACCCAAATGTGCCTGCATAACCACAGCCTGCAGCCCATTTACCACAAAAAAGACAATAAACAGATCCACAACAGACACAGGAAATACTTCAAGACTTGTGCAAACAACTGACATGAACTCCATTTGCTTGCATGTGGTGAAGGTACAAACGTCTATTGCTGAAATAATTAACAGAATTGTACGAGTTCACATTGGCTGTTCACAACTGTCACTGCACAACCTAGGAGGGGCATGCATGTTTGGATCTCCATCAGGGATGACCACAGCAACTGCACATTCGTTTTGTTCTCTCACTTTATCTTTCCAGCTTTGGAGAGCATTCTTCCTTATCTTGGAGACGAATGGCCTCCACAGAGAGCTGAGCAGTAGAGCTATTTATCTCTTTGACATGTGTTTCCCTGTTTGTTTTCTCCAGCCTTGAGACAACCAGCTCAGCTCTGACAGCGCACTGTGCCAGTGGCAGAGGGCTGCCCAACCTGTTCACTCCAGTGCTATGAATTCGTTTCCATGCCAATCACTTACTGTAGCAAACCAAGTTTAATCAATGCTTTCTTCTTGTGATAAAGAAGAAAGTCTCTACAAACTTCTGAAAGAGAGTGGCTGGAATGAGAACAAACAAATCAGTTTGGCCCTCTACTTTTTTTTCTTTCAGAAATGAAGAGGTAGCAATGTCCTGTGGGTGACATTGTCTGCACTGAAGAAAAACAAAAAAGGAGAAAAGTTACCTGATCGTTTCTGATATTCCACTTGCTGCTTTAACACAGAAACGGAACCTTATTCTTGAAGCACTGCAGTATCAAGCATCTCATCTAACACAAGAGCATCTTCATTGCTTCAAATAGCTCCTGGACATGTGGGACTCCGTCTCTCTCTGCCTATATCTATAATAAAGTTAACTGCTTAATAACAAAAAAAGAAACAAGTTACATTCCCAGCTCCATTTCTCTACTCCCTAGAGTGCTCCATACACATGATCTCCCTTTCTCCAGCAAAACCCCATAGTTTTTCCACTCAGATTTAACTCATATCCAACCTTGCTTTCAGCAGTAAAAGTCTTGTCCAGACTCTGTAGTTCTGCTCCCTTAGGCCTGATTACAACGATGAGCAACAAATGCCTTACAAGTACTGCCTGTGCTGTAAATGAGCTTGGGGGATCTAGGGCAGGGTGGAAGGTGTAAAAATCAGAGAGCATTTTAAAACCCAATGGAACAGCCTACACAGGTATTGAATTCCTCATATATCAGCTGATTTCCAGACTGGAAAACCTGCCTGGGAACAATCCCCATGCATTCATCCAAATAACTCCTCTATATAAGCTGGACTCCTCCTTGCAGTTCACTGTTCCCAGAACCCACAGCAACTAACATAATGATACAGGATGTTTTGTTTTCTTCCCAGTGCTTGTGCTTCACGGATTCAGCAAGCCTCAGTTTTGGCTAAACGAGTTTGCAGAACTCTCCTTTTCCTTTAAAGGACTTGTGTTCTTCTCAGAAAGGTAAAACTTCTTTCATACCAATGTTGCTCATCCTGAACACGCTGGGCATGCTGAATAACGCGGTCACACAAGAAAACTTTATGGACTATATGGAAAATCTTCACCACTACAAAGATCATTTACAACACTCATAAAATTGCTATCAATATATAAATCAAAATCCATTATTGGCTCTGCAACCAATGAAAAGAATTTTGCAAGAGATGGAGCTGAGCATCAAAAATGACCACGAGTGGATGTTAACTAGACATGGAAATGGATCCTGGGGGTATACCACCACAATATCAAGTGCAGAAATGCAGAGGAACAGCAGGAACAGAAGCAGAGGGAGATGTGTTGCCAGCCTCCAAGAACTGAGCAGACACCAATATCTTTTTAGGAGGCAGAGAGAGCTCAGCCATGCATGGCCTCAATGGTGAGGACAACAGCAAAGTCATCTGTGAGATAACATCACATGTGTACCAAGTTCTCATCTGCAATCTATAGCAGTGTCACACTGTACAGGCACCGAATCTTACTCCCAATCTGGATTCACACTTGACATCATGCAAACAGCTCACAAATGACATTAAGAAATCATGCTTTTAGGCAAAGAAAAAAAGATTATCCCAAGATGTCATCTGCAGAAGTAGCCAGTCCCTGAAGTTAAGTAGGCCTGCTGGAGAAAGAATGCTTTCAACAGTATGTCACAAAATGGGAAAAACAAAAAAAGAGCTGAAGACACAGGATATGGTAAAAATTGATAGGCGTTCTGTGATGCATTTCTGAACTCATACTGGCTCAACCTTCTCCAGCCCACACTCAAGCAAAGGAAGCTTTGGAGTTCACACCTGTGATGTGGTAAGGGAGAAGGTTTCTTTTTTCCCATCTTTAAACACTTTTTTCCCCCCAGACGAATGCTGCGTAATTGCAGCGACAGCACAGATTTTACTGCAAGCATTTAGAAGAATAAGTGCTCATTGACACGATGAGAAAGGTTCCTCCCCTGGGGAACAGAACATAGAGGCTGACTGAGCAACTGGTGGGTATTCAAGAACATCAAAAATACTGGCAGAGCAGGGTCACAGTTCTTACTGAAAAGGAGTCATCACAGGAAGACAACTGGTCTGCTGGCTTCCAGCACAGTACAACATTAGTGAAGAGAAAGTCCTTAAGCATAGGGCTTTTATATACACACTCTTTGAATAGCTGAAAGGCTGCAAAGTAATCATGGCTTGTTCCTCCAGAGGTATGGATCAGATGATCCTGTTCTGTCAAAATGCTGGGGCCAAACCTGGTGCTCCATATCCCATCCTGCTTCCCCCACCAAATCCTCCAGTAGAGGCTGAATAGCAAGGCACCATTTGCAGCTTCCACCTCATTTAGAGGACTTACCTACCACTAGCAGAACGTAGCACAAAACATACAGAGTGAGAGGATTATTTTAACATCTGAAAGACAAAAAGGAGCAAATGAGTTGGCCAAAGCTATTCAAACAATTAACAAAGATATGCCTGGACAGTGCAGGTTTGCTTTTGGTCCTGTACTCAAGAACACTGTACCTTGTTTCATCAATTTGGTTGATATCACTTTGGTGCTATTAAGAGTAGATACAGAGGAAATAATTAGAACTTCTGTTCTGTAAAAAAGCAATAGTACTGTTCATGTGTGAAAATTCCAAAAACAGCACAAAAGAATTCATAGCAGTCAAAAGCTGAAATAACTTACATGAAAACCACAGCAATACAAGCTATAGGCCTTTCTAAACTGAAACTTTCCTTTATTTAAAAAAAAAAAAATAGAATGCACCTAATACGTCAGGATTAATTACATTTTTAACATTACAACATCAATATTTTTAATGTAGTTAGCTATAAAGTATTTCAATATGAAACAATGTGGAAAAATGTCTAACAAGTTTCTGCAAACATGAGAACATTTTAATTAAATCCCAACATGTAAAAATAAAACACTACAAGTGTATTCAACTGTATTTGACTCCAGCATCATTCTTCTACATATCTTCACAAAAACTCTTTCTAAAAGCTTACTGGAATTCCACATTCCTACACACAGAAATCAGTTCTCATTCTGTTGAATTAAAAAAAAAAATTGTGAGTACCATATAGTCACATCAATTCTTTTCAGAAGAAGTCTTGTCTTTGAAACTGCCAACGAAGAAAAATATTAACTTCCCTCTGCAGCTTAGGATAGCCTTGGGAAGACCTCACTGCAGCACTGTGGTGCTCGTGGGTCACACTGTGCTCTAACACAGCCCATTAGTCTTCATCTTCATTTGTGCTGCAAAGAAAAAGCAGTGGATTCGTCTTCGAAGGCACCTCCAGGAAATCCCCCTTCCCAGGAGTAACCCTGGGAAACCTGGCAGGTTCAGACACATGGTTTTCTTCTTGTTCCTGTAAAGCAAAGCCACTTGCACTGGCTAATCCTTCAGGTTGTTCTGAAAGTCTCACTGCAGTGTGCATTTGCTTTTCTAATTCTTCTATCAATTTCCCAGCGACAGAAGGAGATTGCGAAGAAGCCTTTGATTTTTCATTGCTAACCTCAAACGTTGAAGCGTTTGTGCCTTGCCTTAATCCATTACAGTCAATAAGTGGAGCTGTCCTCTCTTCTTGAAGCACGCCTTGTAAAGAATTTATTTTCCCATCCTCAGCAGTTGAGGACTCTCGCTCATTTGAATCAGACCCTTCTGTCTCAGATGATGAAGTGCTGCTTGATTCTTCAGAGTCACTTGTCTCCGACTCAGAGGATGGCAGCTGTTGCCTGGAAACCATGCCAGCAGCTGTTAACTTGCTCTCTTCTTCCAGTACCAGCACTGCTGCTGCTTCCAGCTCTTCGAGCTCAAATCCTAAGTGGGACTTTGTAAGCGTGGTTTTCTGCAAGGATTCAGAAAGTGCAGCCAACTTTTTTGACCTTTAATAAGAAGAACAAAGCGTATTATTTAACTTCACAAACAGAATATTCCCAATTGATATGGAGAACACAAGCCCTAAACACTGGCTGGTCACTTGCTTTACAAACAACTGCTTACTTCAGTTATGACTGTAAAAATAAACGTTGCACAAAAAATACCAGGATGTGTCATTACTGTTCTTGGGGGTGACTTCTCACAAGGCTGGTCAGATCCCACCGAAAGACTTCAGAGATTTTCAGAAAAGAAATCTCTGATGTTTTCCCTTACTGTGTATTGCTGAAACAAGTCCACCTCTGAGGGGGTTTTCATTCTTTAAGTGCTGAATTTGCACGGTTAATGCTCCTGGAACTATTTGATGCCTTCAAGTGTCTTCAGATTTTGTACTGATTATACATATTTAAAGAGCCTCCCAGCTCTTCTACAGGTTATTTGAAATTAAATCCAATCTGCCCTCCAAAACACACACACATTTAGCACCTATTAAAAACATATGCTCAATGAAAGTACAAGATTGATTTTGAGTTGCATGCATTTACTAACACAGAAAAGACAATGGTTAAAAAAAAAAAATCAGAATATTAGCAAATTGGAGAAGCTATCCTACAACCACACTACTTATCCCACACTTCCCACTCTTTGGGTCTGTGATATCTTCTCTTCTCAGCCACCTCAGTGCCACGAGATGCTCATTTACACCAGCTGCACACTGTGCTTTACTCTTTCTTTGTATTCCAGTTGAAATTTCCATTTCTTTAAGTGTTTTCAGGTCAGCTCACGCTTTACCAGGAAAGCCCATCACAGATTTATAAGCAGAGGGAAGAAAAAGCCAAAGAATGCCTTGAAATGGGTAGGCAGCCAGAGGGGAAAGCGGGTATACAGTCCCAAGCATACATCCTGTTCCTTGTTGCACAGTTCTGCCTTAGACTATCAATCAACTTTTCACCACTTCCTGCAACAGCAGGTCTACTATAAATCCTGCAGTAACTGACTGGGTTTCATTTCCTCTGCCAAAACCTGCTAACCTGCAAGGCACGACACACTGACACCGGAGCAAGTAGCTGATAATGTAATACATGACTCCTGCAAGGCAGAAGTTAAAGCGCTCGTTCTCTCAGCTGAATGATTTTAAAGATCTTTATATTCTATTTCCCAGGGGGGATAATTACTCAGTATAACATACTCTTTTTTTTTCCTCCTAAAGGAATTGTATTTAAATGTGGAGGAAGGGAAATGCAATGCAATTCCTTACCCATTCTACACAGAGCAGCATTTCAAAGCCTAACGTGGAATGCAATCATTAACCTTCCTTGGACCAACCGACAGAGTGGAAAACTAAGGGAATTGTTTACCATAAGCAACTCCAGTCTAAAAACTAAATCATAAGTCTAAGCAACCTTCAGTGTAAACACAGGTTCCAGATTTTCCAGAAGTTGCTTACTTGGCATTATAGACACAGATCTTCTGGCATAATACTTCACTTTTTATCAGGAATTTGAACTTTAAGTTATGTAGTGTTTAAGAAGTTTCCAACCTAATTTGGAACAAAGAAAGCATTTTCCTGAAATGCATTTT